GCTAATGTTATATGGCTGGGTTTTCTTGTATCTCTTTAATGTTTACTTCCTGTCCTCAGCTTTAGCTAATGTTATATGGCTGGGTTTTCTTGTATCTCTTTAATGTTTACTTCCTGTCCTCAGCTTTAGCTGATGTTATATGGCTGGGTTTTCTTATATCTCTCCAATGTTTACTTCACATTACTTGATAAAAAGTTGTTTCCAATTCTTTATAAACACAAACCAGCATCATGTAAAGGTTTTCTGTCAGAGAATGTTAATTCCCAATGTTTTAACATTTTAATGCCAACACCACACTATAATTCCATCGCTGGACGAAGTTTTGAAAACAAACATCATCCTTTATGTAACTGCATGAAATACTTGGAATGTGAAAGTCTCAAGTTTTTGTCAGTGATGACTGATACAGAAAGTAAAGATAATCATGTATGACAACATTGTATTTATTAGATATTTTGAACAGAACAACTTTTAAAAATTATTATATTGCTATTTGTTGCTTTGTCTTAAATTTTAAATTAATTAAAGTCATAGATAAAGAGAGGCCTCTTAGTTCTATTGTCATTATGGTCTTGTTCATCTGAATAGGTCCTATATCACAATAAGATAAGCTAGTGGAACTGACATTAGGTGATAGTTTTGTTGTGTATTGCTTTAATGTGATGTCCACTTGAGTAGGTTGTGTATTTCAGTTAGATAAACTAGTGGAACTGACATTAAATGATACCTTTCATCTGACATGTTGGAAGAAGTTTATTGTGGTTAACATACACAAACTGAAACTGCAGTGTTTACTACCACTACATGCTGGTATATAAATGAAGTGTAGGTTTAAACTGCAGTGTTTACTACTACTACTACTACATGCTGGTATATAAATGAAGTGTAGGTTTAAACTGCAGTGTTTACTACTACTACTACTACATGCTGGTATATAAATGAAGTGTAGGTTTAAACTGCAGTGTTTTACTACTACTACATGCTGGTATATAAATGGCGTGTAGGTTTAAACTGCAGTGTTTAATACTACTACATGCTGGTATATAAATGAAGTGTAGGTTTAAACTGCAGTGTTTACTACTAGTACATGCTGGTATATAAATGAAGTGT